TTGACAGGATATGGCATTACAAAGTTTTGCTTTTGTCCATCTGATTAATATCTGTTTTCCAAACTTGTCGCTTTGTTGAGTAAAGTGAAAATATCAAAACACCTTAGCTTTACTTCACTGCTTTGGTTAACAAAATAATTCCTGTTTTTCATCTCCTTCCTTCTGAGGCAAATCTGTAAGACTGATTCACAGCAAATAGGTGCTGCTGAAATGGAACTGAATGTGTTCGGCAAGACAAAAGGCTCTGAGAAGGTCTTTTCTGACACTAAATCAATTAATCAATTCAATTTGCTTTTAAAGGGAAAACAAAATGTGTTCTGAGGAGGGGAATTGTTGCATGAACAATGCATGTTGTCATATATTTGATCATTGGCAACTCATCTGTCTCACTTGCTGCTAGTGTTAGATTTATTGTGCAGCAGATGTGTGAGGCTATAGGAAAGGTGTCACTTTAGGAAGATACTTTAGGAACAGCTTTGTCGGAGCTGTGTTATAGAGGTTACAGGAAGAGTTCCCACAAAAATAAAAAAGTCTGTCATCATTTACACACTCATGTAATTTCAAACCATATCACTTTCTCATTTTTGCCTGCAGGTTGTCTGATCTGGCTTGTACGTGTAGGACAGCCGCACAGTGCTTGATTTGAGATACAAGTAATGAATTCACTGGGAAATCCAGTTGATGTAGGAATGGATTCAGCCAATATACACTTGAGTCTACACTTACAGCACTGTCCTGTTCTCCTGTGCATCGTAAGGCTGGAATACACTTGACTTCTGCAGGTTTTCCAAAACAATCTCATGAATTTGTACAATCTCATTCATACGTTTTCATACACCCCACTGGCAGTTATATTTAGGAGTGGACCTTCAGGGTTACTTTTTTTTATATACGATTCACATTGTATGAAATCATATGAAGTCACCACCTTGTAAAATACTTATGTTTTCCAGTGGGATCAGGTTCAATTTTCAGTCTGGACTTAACACTTCTCAACTAGTTGCCGAAAGTCAGAGCGAATCTGCAGATCTTGGGCAGTTACAGCTGACAGATTTTGGTAGAAATTGCATATTGTATAAAAGGCACAGGCTAAGATTTTTAGCTTCAGACTACAGCAGTGTCCCAATTCAGGAGCTCCATCCCTAGGGTGTTTTCACACCTGGCTTGTTTGGAGCGTTTGTTTCGGAACCTGTCCCGTTTTCTCCCTTAGTTTGGTTCGTTTAGGCATATGTAAACACGGCAGTCATGCTCAGATCCACACTGAAATAATCGGTTCAAGATTTGCCTGAACAAGGTGGTCTCGGCCCGATTGCCCGATTGCTTAAGTGGTTCGCTTGTGGTGAGAATGCAATCCTATCCAAAAGACTAACGAATCATATGTTACCATACAGTATGTTACATAAAAAGACACAGTGTCTGATTCTGTGAGTGAGCACATTAGTTATTGAAATTAAAAACCAAAGAGTGCCTCTTCATATTAAAATGTTGTATAATTGCTCTTCCCCATGCATTACAAGAATGCTGTCCGGACAAAGCCTTGATTCATGCTGGCTGTAAATGCATTATATATACATATACAGTACATACATATATACATATACCCCTTCATATTTTTCACATTTTATGTTGCTGCCTTATGTTAAACTTCTTTAACTTACTTTTTTTCCACATCAATGTACACTCTATACACCATAATGGTAAAGCAAAAAACAGGTTTTTAACATCTTTGCAAATTTATTAAAAGTAAAAAAACTTAAATGATTCCATTGCATAAGTATTCATACCCTTATTTGGAACAGTTGAAATTTAGCTTAGGAGCATTCATATTGCTTGTAGATGATACTACACTTCGGGTGAAGTTAACCTGTGGCAAATTCAATTGAATGGGTATAATTTGGAAAGGCACACACGTCTTAATAAAAGGTCTTCCAATAAACCTATTTTCAGGCACTGCGTAATATCATTGCGGGGAGATGGAAAATGAGCCTAGTGGCGTGTTCCTTTAAAGAACTGATTAACCATTTACCCTAAGTGTGAGTATTTATATATATATATGAAGAGTTCATTTGCAGAAACCGATAAACGCCACTTTCGAAGAAAATGAATTTTAAACTCTAAAACGTGAAATGTGAAGTTATCTGCTTTTGCTATAAAATAAACTTTTAATATGTAAAAAAACATACTTTCAATGAACGTCATTCCGAGGTATGTTATCCTTCGATAAAAGCTGATAACACAGGCTAATCCGGGTAACTGAAGTCAGTGCTATACGCTTGCTAGGAACAGTTTTTCTTGGTGGAAGCTTTGTATTTGGTTAGCTAATAAAATATTAAAACTCAACTCAATATTATATGTACAATTATTTGATTATGTCATCCTGCTATCACGGACTCGCTCTCTCATTTCATACAAACGCAGCTGCTGCCATTTTGCGACATTGTTTTGTACACTGTAATGGATTATAAGATAACTAACAAACTGGTAAAATTTTAAAACATTTTCGTCTTAAATCAATGTCTTAAATCTTTTATAGCCATAATTATTTATGTGGTGAAATGTTGTATAATAAGTGGTGTGACTGCACCGTATCCCTTAAATATCCGTCTAGTTTGAACTTGCCGCTTGTTCGCAACTGCTGTCTTCACAGAAGTTTTCATACAAATATATCAACTCAAATCAATATTTTGTGTCTAATTATTTACTTATGTGGCAAGTAGCTGTGTAATAAGTGGGACAATGTACATCCAGCCGGTTGTTATCGCAGAATAACCCCCTTCAGGGTGATACAATATAGAGGTCTTCTCGGGTCCTAAAATCTGTTTAGGACTTATTCTACAGATTTTAGGACCTGAGAAGACCTCTAGTGTACAGCCTGCAGCCCCGAGGTCAGTCAGGAAAAATCCTGGTGTCCTGCTGACTGATTTGGCCGCTGATTTGACCCCTGTGGTCTGTGTGGGTCCTAGTGCCAATAGTGATGGACACACTATACTGTCAAAAAAGCACCGTCCTTCGGATGAGACGTTAAACTGAGGCCCTGACTCTCTGTGGTCATTAAAAATCCCAGGATGTCTTTTCGAAAAGAATAGAGGTGTGATCCTCGGCATCCTGGCCAAATTCGCCCATTGGCTTCTGACCATCATGGCCTCCTAATCATCCCCATATCTACTGATTGGCTTCATCACTCTGTCACCTCTCCACCAATAAGCTGGTGTGTGGTGGGCGTTCTGGCGCACTATGGCTGCCGTCACATCATCAAAGTGGATGCTGCACATTGGTGGTGGTTGAGGAGATCCTTATTATTATTATTATTACATTCTTATAAGTGTTTCGGAACAAAGCAAATGATCTACAGGTCTGAAAATACCCTTAGAAAGACAGACTTTGAAGGTTTAGCGGAGTCAGACAGAGCGTTGTTAAATGGGACAGGCTAACCTATAGAGGATTGTTCTTGTCGCCTAGCAACTGTGACAGTTCATGTTGACAAATGACAGTAACGTTTGTATGACTTTTTTGAAAGTGATATTCAACTGAACAAAACAGGGTTCACAACCTGTCTAAATATTTCTGTACAGAAATGTCCATTTCTGTACATAATAAAATTAAATAAACTATCCATAAAATTGCATCTATAAATGTAAATGTGTAATCCCGAATTATCTCTCAAAAAAAAAAAAAAATCATGTTGTCACTGGAATGCAATGAATCTTAGGATAGTCTGGGCTGCGAATGATCCATTTGTTGTATCCTTCATGGTCTGGGAAACGAAGGATGGATTTCAAGCTCACATTTGAAGGAGGCTTTGAAAGAGGACAGCATTCGTGGCGCCGCTGTGATGCATCCAATCTTCAAATGCAGCCTTCGAAGGATGCAGCCTCTATATTGGGACACAGCTTATGATTCCATCCAGTCAGGGGACATCAAGACATGTTAGATATTTTGAGCTGATCTTATAACACAATGTTTTCATTTGTCATGCATCTTCTTAAAACAAAGCATGTTTCAGCGCAAGTGTTGTGTTCAGAACAACTTTAAATCTGCTAGTGTGTAATCCTCAGTTGTTTAGTGTAGGATGCCCAGTTTGTAGTGAATTGCAGCCTTAATGTGGTTTCCATGTGCTTGAAGAAGGTCACTATTCTTTCCATTTCTTTTTCTTGCAGTCAGCTTCCCTCTTCAGTTATAATTTGCGCATCTGATGCATCAGACATAAAAAGGCACCCATATGAGGTGTAAAAAAAAATAAATAAAT